CTACCAACCAATGCACCACGAGTGCCCCTGTCGGTCATTTTGGCCAGCCAATCACTTACCGCTTGTGGGTAGATTACCGTACCGCGTGTTTGTACCGCGCATTTTGAATGGCTGTATCTGTATGTGAAAAATAACTCAGTGAAGAACAGAATGTGATCTTTTCAGCTTTAGGATTTAGTATCCTCTGGTCCTGCTGTTCTAGTTGAGGATTTTACCAGGACATCCAGTACAGTGTTAGCCCAAAAGGTTTCACGTCTGTCATGAAGCTTAAGCTAAGTATCTGATGGCTAAGTATTTGGACATAGTATACAATGGACAAAAGGTTAGGACAGCATAAAAATCACTTTCTAATATCACTGTCTCTAGTAGAATATTTAGGGTATGAGCTGAAAAACCTATAAAAAGAAACAAGCAGCCTCCTCAAAGTCATTAAAACAAACAAGGGCTCACAAAATACTGTTTGCTGGGGAAAAAATAAATTTGTACATGATGCATTTACAAATACATGGAACTGTTATTGACAGATGTTCTATTTTCTTTAATTTTTTAACTTGTTGTCTACAAAATACTATTACTTACCATAAGCATGCAAGACTTGGAGTGTCTTCAGCAGCTGACACTTACATTTACCTAGGTGAAAGGTTTTGTTGCAGCTAGAAGCTGAAAGCAGCATTAGAGCACATAACAACTGTGACCAGGCCCTCCTGCACTTGTAGGGTGAATATCTATTAAGGCAGCTGAACCACAGGCATACAATGGAAAATGTCATGTGTCAGACAGTCATACTCAGGATCTACATACAAAGTTCCCAACCACCTCCTTCGCACTATTTACACCTTAGAAGCACAGTACAAAAGATGATGAGGTGATGATAGCTCCTGCTTCCGAAGACACCGATAGTATGTGTGCCTGAGGCCATTCAGAGTCAGTGCTGGGATACGTATAAGGGTTTGGCTGAATAGGTATTACCACTTTTAAAATATAGGAAGTGACAACATGTGAAAATAAGATTTTTAAGAATAAGATAATTATGCATTTAACTCAAAAGCTTTAGCAAAGTAGTGAAATATCTTAAGATAAATCGAATATCAGCCTAGTTTCTCCTTAAAATCCACATGAAGAGACATGACACTATGACCATGTTTTGACCAGGCTGAGAAACTGAACAAATGTAATAACTTACCGTAGACATTTTCAGACAGATCTTGAGAAAATCCCTTAATCTGGGACTGTGGAAAGAGTGTAGTGCCTGCATGATCAAGATAAGTCATTCCTGTCAGAGAGAAAGATCAGAAAATAGAAGTTAACATTTCTATCTCATACTGTACAGTGACAAAATAATAAAAAGAACTGGATGAAATCATATTAAAAAACTAATCATACATTTGATCGGATACAATCTGACCACAACTTGTGCAGATAACCTACAAGATATATCTTGCATTCTAAAATACCCTTGCATCAGATAATGTCACATATGTCATGTTATTTTAACAATTTGTCTTCCAACACTGATTCCTTAAGTGCAGAACCTATTAAATGTGTAACAAGTACTCTCCATGCCTGACAGACAGAGATTCCTTCACCTTATATTATGTATTTGGGACATTGTACACTTGTAAAGGACATCATGTTTGAGACATTGTCTATGCTACTACTGTACAAGCCAAGTTTGCCCTTGCAAGTGCTGCTCAAAAGGGATGTTAAGGAAGTGAGAAAGAAATTGTAAATGCTTCTTTAACAAATGTTTTCTTTATCTGTAGGGCTCCTTACAATGAGTTGTGACCAGGTTTTTCAGAAATGAATTACTAAGAAATGCTGGCGGACAAAATAGGCAGTAATCTAAGTAATTAAAAGACTAAATAACGACCAAGGACACATATTTCAGAAAACACTGCAGAGTAATAAATTAAATAAGAGAAAATTTATATTGGGGTGGCACTGTGGTACAGTGGTAATACTGCTGTCTTGCAGCACTGGGGCCCTGGGCTTAATTCCTGGGGTGCTATCTGCATGGTTCCATTGGTTGTGAGGACTTCCTCCTTGGTGCTCTGGTTTCCTCCCACCGTCCAAAGACTTATTGGTACAGTAGCTTTATCAGCTTGGCCCTGGAGGGAGTGCGTGTCTATGTCTGTGCATGCCCCGTGATGGACCAGTGCCTTGTCCAGGCTGTATCCTGCCTTGTGCCTGTTGATGGCCAGAATAGGCTCCAGGTCACCTGTGACACTGAATCGGAAGAGGTGGTTAGAAAATGAATGGATGGATATTATATAAAGTAACAGATCCCCCATTGATGGTAGCTAAACATGTAGAATCCACACAGCACCCTATTTAACATGCATTAATTGATTAATTCAATTTTCTCTTTCTGCCACCTGATCTGCTATGTAGTGCAGCTGCTGGAACATAATGACAGTTGTACATCACCCACGTGCGTAATGGCTATACAAAACCAGGACATCAACTCCATTATGCTTCAGAATATGCTTAGAAGTACAAATATGAAATGGGAGCATTCTGGACAAAGATCTTTGGACATTTACAGTGCCGTGAAAAAGTATTTGCCCCCTTACTGATTTCCTCTATTATTGCAAAGTTTTTACACTGAATGTTTTCAGGTCTTTAACCAAAATCTAATATTAGATAAAGGGAACCCAAGTGAACAAATAACCCTTTTTTAAATTATTGTATTTATTTAATGAACAACGTTATCCAATACCAGTTGGCACTTTGTGAAAACGTAATTGCCCCCTACAACCCTGCTCAATATAAACCTCACTTACCATCAGAGTTAAGTTGCCAGCACAAAGATTCAACAAGCACATTATGCCATGATCAAATGAAATTCCTGAAGAGATCAGAAAAAAGTTGCTGATATCTATCAGTGTGGGAAGGGTTACAAAGCCATTTCTAAGGCTCTGGGACTTCACCAAACCATAGTGAGAGTCATAATCTCCGAATCGAGAACACTTAGAACAGTAGTGAATCTTTCCAGGAGTGGCCGGCTCGCCAAAATTTCTCCAAATGCGCAGCACAAAATCATCTAGGAAGTCACAAAGCATCCTAAAAAACATCCAAAGAACTGCAGGTTTCTCTTGTTTCATCTAAGGTCAGTGTTCATGACGCCACAATCAGAAGAGACTGGGCAAAAATGGGCTTCAAGGGAGAGTGGCAAGGCAGAAACCACTGCTAACCAAGAACATAAATACTTGTCTCTCATTTGCCAAGAAGCACCTGGATGATCCCCAAGTCTTTTGGGAGAATGTTCTATGTACAGATGAGTCAAAAGTTGAACTTTTTGGACGACACAGGCCCCAATATGTCTGGCGTAAAGCAAACACAACATTCCACAGTAAGAATATCATACCAACAGTCAAACATGGTGGTGGTAGTGTGATGGTGTGGGGATGCTTTGCTGCCTCAGGACCTGGATGACTTGCCATAATTGAAGGAATCATGAATTCTGCTCTGTATCAGAAAATTCTTAAGGAGAATGTCCGATCATCCTGAAGCTGAAGCGTAAATTGGGTCATGCAGCAACACAATGATCCAAAACACAAAAGCAAGTCCACATCAGAATGGCTGAGAAGAAGCAAAATGAAAGGTTTGCAGTGGCCTAGTCAAAGTCCAGACCTAAACCCACTAGAGATGCCGTGGCAGGACCTGAAATGAGCAGAATTGAGCAGTTCATGCTCGAAGACCTACCAATGTTTCTGAATTAAAGCAGTTCTGTGAGGAAGAGTGGGCTAAAATGCCTCCATAGTGATGTGAAAGAATTATAGGAAGCTAAAGGTGGCGCAACCAGTTATTACGTTTAAGGGGGCAATTACTTTTTCACACAGGGGATATGGGTGGAGGATAACTTTGTTTTTCAAATAAATTAAATAATAATAATAAAGTGTTATTTGTTCACTCTGGTTCCCTTTATCTAATACTAGATTTTGTCTAAAGATCTGAAAACATCAAGTGTGACAAATATGCAATAATAGAGGAAATCAGGAAGGAGGCAAATACTTTTTCATGGCACTTTAAGACCAAAATAAAGATTTATCAAAGTGATGGAATGGATAAAGCATGAAAAAAGAAAGGAACTGTGAATGCTCCAAAACAATCACCTATTCTGTGAAGTCTGGTAGAGGTTATGTCATGGCCTGGCCTCTGGAATTGACTCACACATCTTTACTAATGATGTAATGAAAGATGGCAGCAGTAGAATGAATTCTGAACTTAAAAGAAACATGTTGTCTGCTTGTACGGAAGAAAACACATACTTATTGGGTGGTGCTGCAGCATGAAGTATGACAATGACCTAAAATATATGGCCAATGTAACAAAGGAGTCAATTAAAAGAATACAAGTGAAAAAAAATCATAGAATGGCCACGTCAATCTCCAAGTTTAACTCCAACTGAGAAGGTACTTTACATGCTGAAGAGAAAAAGTGAAGTGAAAACACCACCGTAACAGGTAAACAGATAAAACTTCAATCTGGTTGCAGCAAAGTACTGATAAATGACTACACAAAGTGCTTGGTGTGCTCAACAAACTTAAGTGGGTCACAGACTTCATGAAGTTATTGCCTCAAATGAACGCTTAAATAAATAATAGACTTTTTCACTCTGGAATTTACCCAAAGTGATTGTCCCGATTTATGAAGTAGGTTCGTTGGGTTCAATGTCATACAGTATGAACAAGTGCAATGAAATGCTTATTTGCATGTTTGCTCCAATACAAAGACGTTAAGGAGACACCAAAACATAAACACAGAACAGCAGCAGCAACAACAAAGTTAAATAACCTACAACTTAAATACAAGTCACCATAAGCAGTGTGAGAGAAAAAGTAAGGTGTGAGTCAGTGTGAGTCAGTGGTAAGGGTAGAGTTCAGTAATTTTATGGCTTGCGGGAAGAATCAGTACGTACCTTTATGATCCTGTAATGTTTACCAGAGGGAAGGGGAGAGAAAAGTGAGAAACAAAGATGATTACTATCCTTAGCAATGCTTCCAGCCTTCCTGAGACAGCGAGTTGTAAAAATGTTCTCCACAGATCATACGCTGGCCAAGAGAACACTTGGGAGTGGGACCCAGTAACAAGGCATTTCCCTTAAAGTGCTTGAAGTGCGTCTACCACGCTTCCACGTCCATCGCATTCGCCAGCTCTGCTTTGAGTCAGATGGGGGGTCCGTACAGAGCTGCATCCCACGATAGTTGATTCAGATCCAAATAGGATAAATCTAAGTTTAAGTAAGTGATTCTCGATCCAATGTCCACAAGTACTTGTCGATCATAAATAGTTGCTGCAACAGCAGACTGGATGTAAAAAACCCACATAACAAAACTGACAAAGCCATACATATGAGGAGCAACATGCAACACATCTCCACTCACCACTGCCATGTTGAACATAAGTAATGTTTTGTGTGGAAAAATGATTGAAGTAGAGGCATGCACTAAAAAATAAAGAAAAAATATAAAATTAAAAGGGAGGGTTAGAGGGTTAAATAGCACAGTGAGCAAACACAAAATATTTTTTTCAGAAAAAAAAAAAAGTTGACCACTGTACAGGTGGGTGGAAGTGAAAAAAAGATCTCACTGGGAGCGCTGCATTCCTGCCAGTGTCAAGGAGGCTGTATGGGTCACTGCTGCTGAGGGCCGAGAGAGCCCTGGCCAACTATACATCAGTGAGTCTCAGGAAACTGAGTGTTGCTACTTGGGAAATCCAGATGAAAGTAGGTTTACAGACATAACCTAGGCTCCTTGAATCCCGGTCACAGACTGCTAGTGACATGATCCAGTCTTGGGGTACCCTGGTCACAGTAGGCTTAGAGACATGGCCCATTGGGGTATCCTGGTGTCAGTAGACTGGAGATGTGGCCCAGTCTTGGAGAATCATGGTCATAGTGTTTTAGAAACAAGGAACAGGCTGAGGGTATCTTGGTCTCAGAAGGCTAGAGACGTGGCCCAGTCTTGGGGAATCCTGGTCAAAGTAGTTTAGGGACAAAGCACAGGCTTGGGGTATCAGGGTCTCAGTGGACTAGTTACATGTCCCAGGTTGCATAGAGCTAACCCTGTGCTTAGACAAGTGCATTACCTCTGCAAATTCTAACGTAACCCTGTTTTTCTTCTTTTTCTCTTTTATTTGACCTTTATCGCCCTTATTCACTCTTGCTTCCCCCTTTTCCAGACTTTTACCATTTCTCTTCTAAATGATTACTATCTTGGTGTGTTTCTATTTAACACTTCATTAAATTTAATTCTCATTTGTCTTTATAAGTATGGTTTTGGGGATATCTACAGTATATACAAAATTGATTGCCTTGCACTGTTTTATGTATATTATTGTTTATAAAGCTCCAATTCTTCAGCATACTTTTTGCACAATTGCACTTTAATTAAATTTGGTAATGTTACTTTACATTGCCATCTGCAAAGAATTTAAAATAATTTCATAAAAAAGAATAAAACAGACCTCTGGTGACTCAGTAATGCAGTCTATTAGGGGAAGATCTGTAGGCTTCATTATAAGTGTATAGAGTCTGTGCCATGGTGGCAGTACAGCTCAATGCGTGACCAAGGGGTAATGTTTCTAGTCTAAATTCATTTAATTTAAAAGACTTTTGCTATTCGTTTTGTGGAGCAGAAGTCCTTCTACTTTGTGACTGCACACATGATCTGACATTCCTGTGTTGATGCCGCCGGGCCTGCTGGTCATTAATTACGCAGTTGTGAGACTGTCAACACCACATATTTGCATGCAGCTCAGGCACATACTGTATTATCCTACGTTAATTTAGACATATCCCATCTTAGCAGATGCCTTTGATATTAAAGAAAATGTTAAATGGCTATGCTTAATAATAAATGAAAATGTTTAGAAGCTTACATGAGCTGGAGACAGAACTGTTCAAAGTGAAGCACGCACGCACTGGGAATTAAGCTCTTCTGCAAAATTATTAAGATGTATTGCCGTATTTTTAATGTACAATATTGTGTTAGTATGTCTCACCGTTGTTTTGATAATCCTCCAGTTACTGAAAATGTAACATTCCTTGAATTAACCTTTGTCACACACAACATATGGACTAGAATACTAAACTTTTCTTCTTTCTGTGTAATGCAAGCTGTACATAATTAAAATTCATAATTTAAATCTAAACTAAATGAGTTTTCCACTTAGTTAATGACTTGATTATGAATTCACTTTGCACTTCGAAAAGCTTAAATTTACGCAGCATCTACAGTACAAAGAAAGAAGAAACAGTATAAAGAATTTAATTTTAAATTTAAAACTGAAGTGTAGGAAAATATACTCGTGTACCTGAACAAACTGACAACTGTTAATTAGTATGGGAGCGTGACGTAACGGGACAGAGGAAGTAGTCGATTAACGTTTAATCTTCTTTCATAAAAATGAAGTTGTGCTAGTTTACGTCATTGTTTATATTTGGGAAATTAAACTGGAACATGTATTTATTTTTGTAAATATACGGTACCTTTGATCCTGGCGAACTCCTTGTTTCTCATTTCCATCATGTCACCGCTTTCATAGCCGTAGTGATTCCAAACTTTTCTGAAACTGGCGAAACTGCAGAGCTCTTCGAAATCCGAAGCAGGCTTCTCCATTCTGGTTTTACCAGATGTCGGTAATTAATCCGTAACTAAGTCAGTAAATTGAAATAAACAGTTTGACAATTCAATACCGATTACGCGGTTTTATTCACAAAAGTATCTAAATCCACGACTGACATTGCAAAACAACTTTAGAAGACTTTGGTTATTATTTAACTTGTCCCAGTTATCTGAAGCCTGCGCATTAAGCAACAGGAAATATGGTTAATGTAGTTCGACTGGTTCTACGCTTTTGCATTTTTATCGCATTCTTCTAAAACTATTTTAATAACCGCAGTACCGCAGTTAACTTGTCGGAGAGCAGTGAAAATTCTAAGAGGTGCAGATACAGTATGAAGCATTTTTCAGGAAAACACTAAGAGGCTTAGACAAGATATTAAATATGTTCGTAACAATTGGATCCATCGCTATGCGTAAAATACTATAATTACAACACTATTATTTTTAGATCTTTTAGATACATCTTGCATGTACAAACCACTTTGTTTTTTTTTAATTTTGTATGTTGAAATCCCTGCATGAACGAATAGTCTGTGAGACTATTTTAATGGTAAAGTGGTTTTAAATGGCAAAAGTTGAAGTTAAAGGACAGCTGCTGGTACCATTTTACTGTACTTGTTTTACTTGTTGCCAGGAAAACACAACTTTCAAGCACACATAGAGCATGCATGAAAAATGCATTTATCTCATATTAACGTTTTTCAATACTATCTCATGAATACATGTCTGGCATGCTACAGTAATGCAGCCTCTAACTTGTACAAAGACACAGATCTGCAATTAAACCATGATCCACAGATTATGTTAGAGTGTGAGATTATTATTTAGATTATTAAGTACAAAAATAAGTCTTTCTTCAGGCTGGAAAAGCCTGATGTTGAAGGGTGAAATAATATAAAAAAATTAATGACAGAAATAGGCCATTCATTTTATCAGCACTTGTCATTTTTTTATACACTAAATGATTCCATCGTATCATAAAGGTTTGGCCTAGAAATGCCAGTGTCTCCACAATATGCCCTAATAATTCATTTACACATTCATACATTTGTGTAAAATATATTTCCTAGTATGGTGGTGCAATGTTTTTAACAACTTTCCATGTTTGTCCCCATGTTCTGCTCATCATAACCGAACATAACAATTTGAATGAACCTTAATGGTTCCCTTTAAAAAATTCTTAACCTCAGTCAAGTATCCTCTGAGATGTTAAGTTCCTTCAACCTGTCCTTATAACTCATTCTCAAATGAGAATCTTTTTTCTTCTTCTCTGGACTTTCTCCAGTTCTTGTGCAACAGGTCAGTTACAGAAGTGGCGCCACAGCTTCTCTGAAATCTAGATAGCACAGAGCTCTGCTACACCACTGTACTGTACCTGGTCTGTTGGCGTGGCAGAGTTATCTGCTGTCTAGGAAGTGGCATCGTGCATGCCTGGAGACCACAGTGACCTGAAGCGAAACTCGGTAGGGGCAGGGGGGCTGCATTTATCTCACTTCTTCATCCATCCATTTTCTAAATGCTTCATCCTACTCTGTGTCACGGGTAGCCAGAGTCAGCAGGCACACGGTGAGGTACACCCTGGACAGGACTCCAATCCATTGCAGTCCTGCACACTTGGACACATTCACCCTAGGGTCCATTTACCCTGAAGTCAATTAACCTATAGTAAATGTACTGTACGTCTTTGGACTGTGGAAGGAGACCCATGCAAACACGGGGAGAACATACAAACTCCACACAGATAGTGCTGAGCCCAGGGCCTCAGCACTTCAAGGTGGTAATTCTAACCCCTGCACCACAATACCACCCACACACTTCTTCATCCTTTTTGTAAAGTGGAGTCTAGAATGGTATGAGGTACTCCAGACGTGTGTTGTACTGTAACTAGTGCATTGTACAGTTTCAGAATAACCTCTCTTGATTTATATGTTTTACATTGTTCTGTAGCCAAGCAATCTGTTTGCCTTGTTCTTGTTTCTGTACCTTGCCATTTGCTGAGAGCGATGAATCTTCTACGGTCCTTTTCCCACAGAGCAATTTCATAGGTTTAAATTTAAGAATGAGTCTCTCATGGGGAACCTTGTCAAAGGCTTTCTGAAAATACAAATACAAAATGCCATAAGCACTACCATAAGCTAGTGCTTTCTGGTGCTTCTTCAAAAAAACCTGGATTTGTTATGTAGGATCTTCCTCCACAGATCTCAGCTTACTATCTCCAATACCTAATTATGCCCTCTATATTTTCCATGACATATACATTAAATGTACAGGTATATAATTAATTATATTAGGAATGTTCCAGGTTTTTAATGACAGAAAAACACAATCTATAAGACCCCTGGGGTAAATGCCATTTAGGTCAGGTAACGATTGATATTTTACATCTGTAAAATTAGTTATTGTGTTACTCTTGAGCTATTGAATGTTATGATATATACTTGAAGTCAGAGTTTAAAACTAAGAACATGAGGGTTTTGGGAGTCTTGAAAGAACTTCCCATCCATGTTGTTGAAGGTGATACTCTGGCATGGAATCCTCAGATTAGTTATTTACTGCTAACTGAACAAGATTTCTTGTTTGAAATCTTACCTATACTATGTTCTTACAGTGTATGGGATTCAGTATCTTTGACAGTAATAACCTGGCTGCTACTGTCTTTGGCTTTCAATTCTTGATTTTCTGTTCTCAGGTAACTGATTGAGGCAAATGTCCTTCTCAAAGTGATGTTAGGTATGTTTGTCAGGATATGCTGCTTTTCTTTTACGTCCTTTTTTCAATCTAAGACCATATCTTCTCTGTCATTGTACTGCATTGGTTTTCATGTGATTTGGGGTTCATACCTATTAGAATATGGGATTTGCCAGTACCTCCATACTCTCCTATTTTCTGCAAATCCAACTCCAGTGCATTCACACTGGATGTGAGGAAAACATCAGCTTTCATGGATGTTTGGCTGCTGGTAGTTTTACAGAATGATCCATACAGTATATTGTACCCTTCACAGATCACAGGTTGGGAACCATTTTTAACATATTCAAATTTGTAATCAACCTCTGAGGCATTGATATGTCTCTGTTCTATTAGGTCCATGATTGTTTTGTTTGTGTTTTAAATTTCTAAAGAAGGACACTTATTTTCAATCTAAACCTCTATCCAAAACCAAGCTACTAGTACAAACTAAATGCAACTTATTGTAAGCAACAGGCAATATTCCTCAATTAATAAAACCAGGTCAATTAATGACCTAGATGTATTAGTTAAGAAAGGCAAGCATACAAAACTAAACAACAGTCCTACCTAAGTTTTGCACAATGCAAATTTATGTGCATACTTCCTTTAATTTATTAAGTTCTGTGAATTCTTGACTGTCCTGAAATGTTGACATTTCTGAAATATATGCATTTATTACATTCTCCAGTCTCCAGAGTGAAAGTTTTGTAGGGGAGCTAGTTCTACTAAACCTTAAATTTTATTTCTACTCTTTTGTTTTGTAATTACACCTGTTTGATTTACTGTAAGTCTGGCACTCCAGTATCTTGGCAACACCTTGAAAAACGTCTGGTATTTCCATACAGACTTCAAGTTTTCATTTAAATTGGTGTTCCCCTTAGTCATTGCAGATTGCATTTTAGCCCCATAACTACATACAGTACTTAATTACAATTTGTCTTTCAGCAGAAATATTCACTAAATCCCAGAAGACTTGGCATTCTCATTCATTTTCATAATAAGAAACTCCTTACAGGTGAAGTAAACCTTTACTGGTTGCTCTTTTTGACACTGGATAAACTAGAGGCTTCTCCTTATGGCAGTTATTCTAAATGAGAATGGTCTTTACTTTTTTCAGGGCTTGCAATCTCAATACAAGGTACTGGATCATTTATTTTACCTGGTTGGGGGGAATTTATCTACCCTACGCATAATTTTCAGGGACAAAACAAAAGTATTAGCCGCCTCTATTTATGTTTTTTTTTCTGTTAGGGGCTTCATAAAAACTTTAACAGCATTTACTATTTGGAACAGTGATATAAATATAACAGATGTTTAAATATCCTGGTATGATGTCAATTTGACTTCCAAACATCCTGATTGTCAAATGATTCAATTACATTTCCTTCACAGAGTGTAATTGACCCCTTGTAGACACTATTATATAAAACATGCTGATACCATTTTACACACATTTTGTGTGGTTGGGTTTTGGAGAAGTCCATCGATCTTGACAGCAATAGTCCTTGCTCATACTTGGTATTCTTGAAGATGTCTCTAGTCTTTGTCACTCACAGCAGAAAACAAAAATGATTGAGTTGCCTCACTGCAGCTAAAGGTATGTTTGTGCTACATTGGGATCCTCTGCATTTTGTCCTCTGGTGTCCTTGTCTTCAGTTAGGATAGGCTGTTGTTGATGCACTCAGGTCTATATTACACTCTACATTCATGAATGTGGTGTGATTTTCCTTGTAATGTTTGTTGGAGTGACGTTTATAGTTTGGAGATGGTACCAGTGAAGGGTTTTTTTTTCAGGGCGAGGAAATATTGTTTTGTACTGTTCAAATGAAAAAAGGAAAATAATGATTTGGTAAAAGAAGAAATGCTAAATTGCATACATGGTGGCAAATTAGACAAAAGAGAAATGGGAAACATTTAAAAGAATTAGCTTTTTTGAGTAGGGTTTGTGTTGACATGCAATGGTTGCTAAGGAACGATTATATATCTGTGTTAAAAAACAGAAATGAGAAAAATAATGTTTTGTCTGCTAAACCTTCTTCAGGCTCAACACTTTAAAAGAAGTCAAAATTCAAAATTTAATTAAAAAAATATTCTTAGCAAAAGTGTATTTGAGGATGGATTCATTAACAAGAATCCTGCTGTTGATGAATGAATCTGAAAGAAAAAGTCAAGAGAGGACTGTTATACCTACTGTACATCAAGAAAGAGGCTCAATTAAGAACATATCTGACAATCTTCTCTAAATGGACTAAAAGGCAGCAGAAAAAGAGTATTGGTGAAAATAAAAAATAAACTCAAATATTTTTGTATCTTTTTTTTAAATAAGAGCAAGGTTAAGAAAAGGGTGCATTCAAAAGTGGTGGAGAGAAACTATACAGAATGACAAGGAAACCACAGGTTGTTATTTGTTTTTTAATGCCTTCCCCACAGTGTTTAGAATACAAACACAATGTG